CCGTTGCTGAAGAACAGAGTATGGATTTCAAGCTTTCTGCAGGGTGGCACAGTATTCCACGGCACAGCATAATTTGGAATTTGGAAGCTAGTCTTCACATCACACATCTCAAAACGTCAATGTAGGGATAAAAGCTTTAAGTACAACTGCATAGTATCAAATGGAAACAAAACTCATACCCAGTCAGCTTGATTTCCCAAATCTGAGGTTAATGCACATCAGGAGGGAGCTGAACCATACAGCGTCTCTGAAATCTTAAGCCTAATCTGGGTAGTTCTTTTTTCTATCCCTTTGCTGTCTCAGTCTAAAGTAGCTACATCACAGCAGAGAATAATGCCCTGTTTAGGACTGTAATATCTGTTCTGAATTGATGCTGCTCTAGTCGATTTGCTTATCTCTAGGGCAGCACTGCCTTACTTAATAGCACTATTTACACCAACAGCAGTATGAAGATCCATGCAAAAAAAATCTTTTTTTGTATGATGATTGGGGTTGCCAACTCAGGGTTGTTCCTGTAGATTTGGGGGGTTGCGGAGGAGAGAGACCTCAGTGGGTATAATGCCCAGGGGTCATTTCATAGAAAAAGAGCTAGGGGAACTCATTAGCATAACTCATTAGCATATGCCACACCCCCTGACATCAGGGGCCCGGCGGTGGACCTGCAAGGCCAGCGGGAGTGCGAGGAAGCCCCGCCAAGACCCTCCCTGGCCCCAGGCAGGTGGGGGTGGGGAGAGGCGGGGAGGAAGCAACTTACCCTCCCTCTTCTCCTGCCTCCTCCTGGCTGAATGAGGGCTGGAAGCGGGGCGGCCGGAAGCAGGGGGCGGGGCTTCGTCATATGCCCCCCCTGCACCTCACCCGGGGAACTGTGTTCCCCCGCGGTCCCCCCCGAAATGACCTCTGATAATGCCGTAGAATCCGCCCTCCAAAGCTGCCATTTTCTCCTAATGGAACTGTTCTCTGTGGTCTGGAGGACTCTTGTAATTCTGGGGTATCTCCAGGCTCCACCTGAAGGCCAATTCCATAAACAACATCAGTGACAAAAATAACGAAGAGCCAATAAAGATAAGTTGCAAAAACATTTTCTGTAGTAATTTCTGTAGATTTTTTTTCCTATTATCACTCACATGCTAACGAATACTGCACAATGAACAATTCGTTTCACAATATTGCTTTATCTGAGCGTGTAGCGGTCCCAATTCTTATCAATGACTACTTCTCAAGTCTTGAAGGAAACATTCCATGTTGACACTCTAATAACAGAACCCAAGGTCTTCACACGGTACACGCTCAGAGAAAGCAAAATTGTGAAACAAATTGTTCATTGCGCAGTTTTCGTTAGCGTGTGAGTGATAATAGGAAAAAAAATTCTACAGAAATTACTACAGGAAACGTTTTTGCAACTTAATCTTTATTGACTCTTCGTGATTTTTGTCACGGATGTTGTTTTTGGAATTGCACTTCCTCCCGTGAGCTCTCATTTTTGGCTTCCACCTCAAGGCTGGCAGCCCTATGATTCAAGTATTGTAAAATGTTCTAAAACTGCAGGGAAAATGTAATCTAAAAAGTACTTGAAGCATCTAAGAACATAAGGAACCCTGCTGGATCAGGCCAGTGCTTCACAGAGTGACTAAGCAGTTGCCCTGACGTGCCAACAAACGGTGCAAAAGCCAAGCCCCCCCCTCCATTCCCCTGCTGCTGGCTCCTAGCACAATGTGAGAATTGTTTGATGTAATCAGTGAGTGCAAAGGCTGATTGTTGTGAAGCACACAGAGCTACTTCAGCGGGAAGGAGAGAGAGAACCATTTGCATCTGTATTTAAACTAGTAATAAGGCCCGTTGCAGAAAGAAATGCAACGAGATCTAGAGAGAGGCCCTGGGAGAGTGCCCTGGCCTGCAGCAGTCACTGCCCCCCCCCGAGTACCATGGCCCGACCACCGCTGCCATGGGTGGCCCTCCCCCCACCTTGGTGGTCCCCCCACCCCGACTCTGGCTGCGTGGCTTTTCCAGCCCCCCCCCCACTCTGAGTGGCAGCCCTTGTAAACAGCGTGAGGTGGGCAAGGGAGCTGGCGTGTGAGGCGGAGCCAGCTCGAGCGGCCAGAGCCGGGGCGGATTGGTGAGCAACCGGGGCAGTGGCAGCATGAGGGGGGAACTGGCAGCTGCTCACTGGGTCCTCACTCCATGTATGGAGGCCGTGGGAGAGGACCAAAGCGAGGACCCTCTCCCCACCCCCCATGCTGCGTGTGAGCCACAGGGAAGGAGGCCCCATCCCTGCTGAGAGTCCCGTCCATCCCTTCCGTTAGCTCTGAGCACACTGAGCTGGAGATACTGGCCGCCACTTCTGTGGGCGGGACTCCGCAACCCAGGCAGCCAACGCAGCCAGTGCCTTCTGAATGGCAGTTCAGGCAGCCAACTGACTTTGGTGCACATAGAACTTTGCCACTCAAAGATGGAATTATATATAAGGAGAGATATGCTTAAAAGACTGTGAACTCGCTATTGTGCACTATTGCAATAGATGTTAAAAAGACTGCAGGTCACTATGTAATCTCTCAAACTGCCACAAGTGGTTCACACAAGCAGTCCTAATCCATGACTAGACTCATACTTGGTGAACCAGCTGATAGATACAGCAAGACCTGGAGAGTGCTGTGTCAAGAGTACAAAAGGCTGCCTACCCTTTCTGCATGTTGCATTAGGTAGCCAACTCAATTTTGCTTGTGTATAGAGGAAAATGACTGCAAATGGACCCTAAACCTGGTATTTGAGTGTGGTCAGCAGAAGTACACCTGGACTTTGGAAGACTCTTACCTACTTTCTGCTCAAGGTTGCTTCTAATTTTTTCATACTTTTGCTTTGAACATACCTTTTACAGCTTTTACAGAAGCACCATACGTAAAAAATAGCTGTAGATCTGAACCTTGTCTATGGTGGTCATGTAGGATATGCATGAGCTATGGGACATGTTCCCAGGAAACTCTGCAAGAAGAAAGCTGCCCTCTTGGTTCCACAGTGACAAGGAATCCGCAGCTATTTTATAGCTAAAGCCCTAGGCATGTCCCCCCAAATGAGTACTGTAGAAACAGCATTAAAGTAAGGCAAGCTTTCTCGTATCAGGTAACTGGTAACATTATTCAAAGAGAGATGGAGAAAGTTCCAGGCCCCCTGTGCTCCTGCAGGGCAGATGTACCAATGTAGCTCCTTTCAGCAGGCTTAGGGCAGTCTTTCAAATGAGACAGAAGCCATAATTTAATTAGCCTGGCTGCCGAGCTTTGTCATTTGTGGCTTAAAAGAGCCAACTTTTTTTACAAATTTCTAGCCTAGCTGTCTTGACTCACTGCACCGACCACATGAATAAGGATTTTTCTCTGGTATTAAACCATATGATTTGAGTCTTGTACCATGTAATTTCTAAAGGACAAGGATCTTACTATGGCCATCTCTGTATCTTGGCAATCACTCAATTTCATTATTTTTAAGTGGCCTGGATCTTTGGGCTACTTTATCTGTATGAAGCCGCCTGCCTGCTTAAGATACGCAGTGAAGGCTTTGTACCAGATTCCACATCTACAGGAGGTTACATTTCTATATGTGCAGAGCATGTTGGTTTTTAATTTTTGTGGCGACGATGCATTATGTCTCCAGAGAAGCCTGCCAGACACCATCCCACTCTATAGTTTTGTCAGACCAATTCCCTCCACCCACACCTCCAGGTTTTAGGTTCAAGAAATTAGTTTTAACGTTATCTTTCAGTCTCGGTTTATGTGGTGATTTTGAGTTTCATATTTCAGACTCTTGTTCATTTGCAATACTTTACATAGAAACATTTCATGAAAGGCTGTGGCCACACGGGTGAGGTAATTCCGCTTTGTTCCCGCTTTAATTTAATTTAATCGGGAATATTTTACTTCGGTTGGGCTGATTAGATGCAGCCGGCCCCTCTCTTCCACCACCCGCTCGCCTGAAAATCCTTTTCCTCTCTCTGCTGCCTGCCCGCTCACCTGCCAGCCCACCCGGGTGGCCCAGGAGACAGCTTGAGGACTCAGCGGCACTTCCTGAATCTCTCCCAGCAGGGGGAAAGCCCGGCGAAGACCAACGGCCCCGAGATCCCAGCAGGGTCCGCTCCACAGAAGCCCTCCCCCCGTCACAGCCGCTGTCAAACCCAAAGGGCGCACAAAACTGCCGCCACTGCCTCACGGTCCCTGTGCCGCCACCGCCTCCTCTTCCACCTTCTCGACCTTCCGAAGCCTGCAGCAGCAGCAGCTGCTGCTGTTGTTGCCCGGAGTGCCTTGCAGAGGACTTTGCTCATCCGCCCGGCCCATGCGCCTGAATGTTTAAATGGTGAATTGCCCATGTGCTCAAAGGCAGAAGCCTGGAAAAAAACAACACCTCATCGTGGGGGAAAACGGTCAGACGGCCCTAATCGCAATCATTGCGATAGATGGCTGTCCAGATAGGCGAAATCGCGTGTTCAAAGCGCGAGTACAAGGAAAACACTTGATTTTCCAAGGGGCAGGAAAACCCGTGAACATTGCACGAGTGAGCCGGCTTTGCCCCGGGAGGCAGATCGGCCTATCTAGTCAGCAAATTTAAATGCGGGAGGGAACAGTGGCGAAACCCGATCAAACGGACCGTGTGACCGCACCCAAAGTCTTAAACAGGGGCTTTAAGTCAAAGTGGTGTTATTTTTTCATCCCTTTCTTCCCAAGATTACATTACCATGGGGTGGGCTGCTTTGAATTCTACCTTGTCTTAAAGTACTAGGTTTTAAACAGCGACTGTGTACACGGGATCATTTCCCGGAGACTTGATGGTAGTGTGAAAACTGATAAATACATTTTCCCCACATCATCCCATTGAAAGATGTGGAAAGTCTGGCCAGAGATCATAGGGCAGTGGTGGCGAACCTATGGCACGGGTGCCGGAGGTGGCACTCAGCGCCCTCTCTGTGGGCACGCGTGCCATCGCCCCAGCCAGGCCCAGACCATCATTAAAGTGTCGAATTCTCTGCCAAATAGTTTTTAAGTAAATGAAAGCATTTGGGATTGCTTTCCTTACTTTTGTTTGGATCGTCTCAAGTTATGTATGAGTTGTTTTTTTCTAAAGTAAAACCTCAGTATTTAGGTTAAATTGCCGTGTTGGCACTTGGCGATAAATAAAGTGGGTTTTGGGGCGCAGTTTGGGCACTCGGTCTCTAAAAGGTTCGCCATCACTGTCATAGGGTGTGTGAGAGAAACTGGGCATTGCAGTTTCTGTGGATCTATCGTTATGTCTATAGGTAGCTTGTAAAATCATGAGATTATAACTGCAGTTATGCAAAATACTACCTGTACCCAATAAAGACGGGGGAAATGCCAGCCTCCGTATGGGATACGGCAAAGAAGGCAAGAATATTCTTTCTATTACAGAAAAGAAAGTCGCTCTGGCAGAATGTGCCTCTAGATTGGCTTAGTGCAGTACACCTAAGTGGATGTCTCCTTCATGAGAAAAAACACACTAACAAATCAGAGACCTGAAATGGCCGGCCTGCTTAAAACGTTCTACCTGTTCTTGGCTTCAGCTGTTAAACAGTCGCTCTGGCAGAATGTGCCTCTAGATTGGCTTAGTGCAGTACACCTAAGTGGATGTCTCCTTCATGAGAAAAAACACACTAACAAATCAGAGACCTGAAATGGCCGGCCTGCTTAAAACGTTCTACCTGTTCTTCGGCTTCAGCTGTTAAACAGATTGCAACTTGAGCCAGCAGTAAAACGAGACTGAGGTGAACATCTTTCCCCTCAGGCGTCTCTCACTTCAATCATGCATATACATTTCTAGGTGCACAAAGTAGGTCCCTTGAAGGGTTTTATTATTTTTTTCCCCTTGAAAATGATTCTGTTGCAGTAAATCTTGCAGTTATCTTATATCTTCCCAAAAGAAATCTTATAGGAGGAAGGGTTCATCGTTTTCCTTTAGATGCCACCCAGATGCAGTCCTGCTAACGCAATGGCAATTCCTCAGGTGCTCTGCACTGGATCCGGCGTACCTCAAACAGAGTAGTGATCTTTGTCAGGGGTTTGGCGGCCAGCTCTTTAAGCTTCCGCGCATCAAAGCGAGGCCTGTGGAGTAGAAGGGGTAAACGACGCCGAAAGGGGGAGGTTCCCTCTCTCCTGATTTCCTTTTCACTCCCTTGCTGCTTTTTTGCTTTGCTGGTTGTCATTTGGTATAAGATGGCATCCCACATCTTGATGGCTCTTGACTTGGTTATCCTCTTGTCCTGACCAGTATCCACTTGGGGACCTTGCGTTGTCTTTATTTCCGCCTCTTCAGGCTTGGTTGGCTCGGGTTCCGGAACTGGGAACTGGGGCTCTTCAGATTCTATTATCAAGTGCTTCTTAAGGCGGGACCAGCCACTAAACTTACTTTTCGGTGGCACGACTGGCTTAGGCTTTGGTAAGGTGCCTTGGGGAGCAACTGATGTTGGCGGACTCTGTTCACACCTAGCTCCTGGCAAGAGAACGTGAGTGCTGACTGTTGATGGAGCCGGCAGGGCCATCTCTGGTATAATGGGCTTTTGAGATCCACTGGGACTTGCGTGTCTCTGGGTCTCAACATGTGGTTCGGGGCCTCTGTCACTTCCTGGTGTCACAGGCCTACTGACCTGAGGAGCTGCAACTACGACTTGCTGTCCGGGAACATGCATTACGGCAGCTGTCGTTCTAGTAGGAGGTTCAGGGGCACAAGCGGTTTCAAACTTCGGAGTGATTGGTCTCGCCTGGCTTGAGAAGTGTGCAACGGGTACCTGGCCTGTCGGTGGATATTCTTGGTGTACCGGCATATGAAAAGGCGAGGGTCTGTCTTCACTACTAGGATATTTAGGGGTTGGCTGTGACAGGGGGATTGACGGTTGCATACTATGAATGGTGGCATGGGTCTCAGCTGTGTGAGAAACCACCACTGGGGTCTCCACGGGAGGTTCAGGAGAAAGGAGCACAGAATGCAGAGCACTTGGAGGGGACAACTGTGTGTGCATGTCTGACTGTGGCCATGAGGGCTCAGCGGGGCTGAGTCTCTGGAGGGGTGACCGGGAAGGGGAGGAAGTGATTTTGAGATGTCCCGAAAGGTTTCTCTGCTCTGTGACACTGAACGTAAAAGGCTTTCCTTTGGGAAAAGGAGAAGAAACGTGGTGGATGACAGGTTTGATGGAAAAGCGGGGCGGGAGATTGATGGTGAGGTGTGTGGCGGTTTCCGTAGGCTTTAGAGGGGAGGAGCGTTCGTTGTGCTCCGGGTCAGGGCTGGCTTCGCTCACGGGGGACAGACTGGATCGGAATGATGCGGTCTGCTGTGCTGATAAGGCGGCTTTCTTCTTCGCTACTTTTTTCAAGAGTCTCTGAAGCTTAAGGTTCTCCTTTCCGGGCTTTGGTAGAAGAGGAGGGGGTGGCGCCTGTGGGTGAAGGGAGGCCGGCTCACGGGGTGGCGTTACAGTAATCAGCATTTTAATACCCTGAAACATAATGAAAATTTCCATTAGTTGTTATAGTTTAATATTTGGGCAGTGTAGATTCTTGTATGATGCCTACGCGCATTAGCTAACACCCTTTTTGAGACTTCATACGTGAGGTGAAGAGGAAGAGATTGGATTTCTACCCCGCCCTTCACTACCCAAAGGAGTCTCAGAGCGGCTTACAAACTCCTTTCCCTTCCCCTCCTCACAACTGTGAGGTAGAAGAAGAAGAAGAGGTTGGGTTTATACCCCGCCCTTCACTACCGAAAGGAGTCTCAGAGTGGCTTACAAACTCCTTTCCCTTCCCCTCCCCACAACAGACACCCTGTGAGGTAAAAGAAGAAGAAGAAGAGATTGGATTTATACCCCGCCCTTCACTACCCAAGGGAGTCTCAGAGCGGCTTACAAACTCCTTTCCCTTCCCCTCCTCACAACTGTGAGGTAGAAGAAGAAGAAGAGGTTGGGTTTATACCCCGCCCTTCACTACCCAAGGGAGTCTCAGAGCGGCTTACAATTTCCTTTCCCTTCTCCTCCTCACAACTGTGAGGTAGAAGAAGAAGAAGAGGTTGGGTTTATACCCCACCCTTCACTACCGAAAGGAGTTTCAGAGTGGCTTACAAACTCCTTTCCCTTCCCCTCCCCACAACAGACACCCTGTGAGGTAAAAGAAGAAGAAGAAGAGATTGGATTTATACCCCGCCCTTCACTACCCAAAGGAGTCTCAGAGCGGCTTACAAACTCCTTTCCCTTCCCCTCCCCACAACAGACACCCTGTGAGGTAAAAGAAGAAGAAGAAGAGATTGGATTTATACCCCTCCCTTCACTACCCAAAGGAGTCTCAGAGCGGTTTACAAACTCCTTTCCCTTCCCCTCCCCACAACAGACACCCTGTGAGGTAGAAGAAGAAGAAGAGATTGGATTTATACCCCGCCCTTCACTACTCAAGGGAGTCTCAGAGCGGCTTACAAACTCATTTCCCTTCCCCTCCCCACAACAGACACCCCGTGAGGTAGGTGGGGCTGAGAGAGCTCTGACAGAAACTGCTCTTTTTCAAGAACAGCTCTTATCAGAACTACGGAGGTCATCCAGCCAGGTGCAAGTGGAGGAGTGGGGAATCAAACCCGGTTCTCCCAGATTAGAGTCCGCGGACTTAACCACGACATCAAACTGCCGCACTTAACCACTACAGTGGTTAACTGGCGCATTTAACCACTTACATCAAACATGAAGAGCAGATGGTTGATAGAGCTGCTTGAAAAAACACATCAGAAATATTAAATTACCTCACATCCCTCAAATAATGTTTTCTAATTAAGTTGGGACACAGACGGGAGGAGACTTTAGAGTTGAGTAATCAAGTGATGTACACATGCACACGTGAGCCAGCGTTTCGCTCCACTGAAGAATAAAAATATTAGAAAAGAATATATAAAATCTATTATCTGGCTGACACCCTTACATAGACTTCACGGATCATCAGTAGCTATTATAGTCACTCACAACCTGACATTCTGCTCAATATACAATCCTGTCCTTAAAGATGATATTTGGCCCAAACTAGGAGATAGCAGCAAATCTGCGTATTTAAATACAAGTTCCGCCTAATCCTCACGTAACGTCGGGGAGGGTAGTCCACACGTAACCTTGGGGAGGATATGGGGGTTGTTGAGCCCTTCACCCTCATCTCACTCTTACTCCTGCAGCCTGTCTTTCTACCGGATGGTAGAAAAACACTTGTGGGGAAAAGAGCTGTGTGGACAGGAGAGCAGTGGATGGGTTAGGTAAAGGTAAAGGTTTCCCTTGCTCGAAAGCCAGTCGAATCCGACTCTAGGGATGCGGTTCTAATCTCTGTTTCCAAGCTGAAGAGCCAGCGCTGTCCAAAGATGTTTTTCGTGGTCATGTGGCCGGCATGACTTAATGCCAAGGCGCACGGAACGCTGTTATCTTCCCACCAAAGTGGTACCTATTTATCTACTTGCAATTTCTTGCTTTCAAACTGCTAGGTTGGCAGGAGCTGGAACGAGAGACAGGAGCTCACTCCGTCATGCAGCACTCGGGTCTCAAACTGCTGAACTACTGACCTTCCGGTCTGCAATTCAGTGTCTTAACAACATTTCCAACCTTGTGCTATTATGGCCTCCTAAATTGTCCTCTACTGCCACCACTGCTCCTTAGAAGACCACAAATAGTGAAGTAGCACAAATGTACCAAATTTATTATTATTTAATTTATTAAAACATTTATAACCTGCCTTTACTTGTAGTTCAAAGCAATTTATATATATATATATCCTTGATCTCTTTATATGTGAGTTTTAAAAATATACGACTGTCGTATAAATTACAAAGCCATGGTAAAATGATATTCAGGGTATGCAAAGACATCATAGTAATCTAGTAATCCTGTTTCAATATGAAGCGTGTGCATCAGGCTGATGAAAGGTACCATGAAATCTGAAGAGCTAATAACATGTATTGAGATTAACATTGGAGCAAGATTATGCACTGAGTAGAAACCAAGTGGTATGCTAATATAAACACCCCCTAGAATAGTAAGTCCATATAAGTATTTCAGTCAAACTAATTTTCTTCAAAGAAAGAAAGAAAGCGAGAAAGAGAGAAAGAAAGCGAGAAAGAGAGAAATCTATAGCAATGATACAGAAGTCTCATAACCTCTCCAGAGTCATCAATTATCTGAGGGTTTATAAAAACAGGAAAATTACTGGTTGTTTGTGACATATTTGCATGGTGGTGGTGAAAAGTGCCGTCAAGTCGCAACTGAGTGATGACGACCCCCATGGGGTTTTCAAGGCAATACACCCTCAGTGGTGGCGTACCATTGCCTGCATCTGCATTGCAACCCTAGACTTCCTTGGTGGTTTCCCATCCACGTACTGATCAGGTCCAACACCACTCAGCTTCTGAGATCTGATGAGATCGGGCCAGCCTGGGCTATCCAGCTCCAGGTACATATTTGCATACCTCATATAATTCTACAAGGGCTCTTTATACTGCCACGTGTATTAATTTTTTTAACAAGTTGCATATAAGAAGACAGATAATGTTATACACTACTGTTAAATGAATTGATCTGGTTGTGGCCTTCTGGCTTTGCCATGGCTGTTCCTTGACCATCATTTTTACATATGAGTAGGGGCATAAGGTGGAGCTGCGGTGGCTCAAGTGGTTAAGACGCTGAACTGCAGGCTGTGGAAGGTCAGTAGTTCAGCAGTTCAAGACCCGGGTGCCGCAAGATGGGGTGAGCTCCTGTCTCTAGTTCCAGCTCCTGCCAACCTAGCAGTTCGAAAGCAAGAAATCGCAAGTAGATAAATAGGTACCACTTCAGTGGGAAGGGAACAGCGTTCCGTGCACCTTGGTGTTTAGTCATGCCGGCCACATGACCACGGAAACGTCTTCGGACAGCGCTGGCTCTTCGGCTTTGAAACGGAGATGAGCCCTAGAGTCGGATTCGACTGGCTTTCGAGCAAGGGAACCTTTACCTTTACTTTAGGGGCATAAGGTAAAGGCAGGGCTATTTTGGGGCAGGAACGCACAGGAACGGAGTTCCGGCTGGCTTCAGAGTTGGCCATGCCCACTACAGCCAAAACCTCTGTGTGCGTGGCTACAGAGGGAAGGCTTAGAGAGTGACCTCCCCCCCCGGTGACTCCGAGGCCGGCCAGCCAGGGGGGGCCCTGGAAGTATCAGGGAAGCATTTAAATGCCTCCTGTGCCTTTCCTGGCCTGTCCAAGGGCTGGCTTGTCCGGGTGCCCTGCAGCTGTGGGGCGCCTGGGCAAGCCAAGGGAAGGCATGGCGTGTGGCCTAATAGGCTAATGAGCTGTGCTGTCAGGGGCGTGGCCTAATATGCTAATGAGTTTCTGATATCGGGTGTGGCCTATTATGCTAATAAGTTCCTGCTGGGCTTTTTCTACAAAAGAAGCCCTGGGTAAAGGTAAAGGTTCCCTTGCTCGAAAGCCAGTCGAATCCGACTCTAGGGTTGCGGTGCTCATCTCTGAAGAGCCAGCGCTGTCCGAAGACGTTCCCGTGGTCATGTGGCCGGCATGACTAAATGCCAAGGCACACGGAATGCCAGAGACGGGAGCTCACTCCGTCATGCGGCACTCGGGTCTCGAACTGCTGAACGACTGACCTTCCAGCCGGCAGTTCAGCGTCTTAACCACTTGAGCCACCGCAGCTCCTGAGTAGGGGCATACCTGTGCTTAAAAGACGCTGGCCTGCCACCATCTTACCTGTGAGTTTTGTTCTTGAAATGGAGGCTCCTGTTTTGCATGCTGAGTTACCTAAAGGTGAGTTATTGGACTGGAGAGCTAAGAAGCGGCTTTACAAATTGAATTTTTGCTTTAGGCAACAAGACAAACAAGTGTCGAATATCATTTGTCAAAGTTATCCAGCCCACAGTGCTTCTCCTTGGTGATTCGTATGCTTATTTCAGCTGCTGTGGCCTGCTGGCCAAAACCCATTGCTCATCCGATAGCAAGTCCTCTTGGGAGCAGCAAAGCAGAAAGCCTCCACAGAAAGGCGAGCTCGACTTGCCTAGTAATATCCTGAAGCTTTGGTATGCAGAACAGATGTTTCCACTTGAGCACACACAAGTGCCCTGAGTGGCATTTGCCTGGGTTGCAGTTTGTCTTTCAGCACAAGCTAATTAATCCTCTGGCTTTAGGGCCTTAGCAGAGAGACCTTGGAATACCTTCTGCAGGGGATATGATTCCAAACCTCCCTGGTTTCTCCTCATGTCATCAGCGGCATGAGGAGTTGCTTGAAAACTCATGGCTGGAGAAGGCCTGTGTGGCAGGATACTTGTGTGTGCTACTGTTCTTTTGTTTTCCAGCAATTTGGCTGTGGCTGCAAATGTCCCCAAAAGATTGTGATGGCCTGTCACAACGGCATGCACGCCAGGCCCGTAGCTACCGTGGGGCCTCTTGGAGCCCGGCCCCCGACTTCCTCCCAAGGCCCCCAACTTTTGGGAAGAAATGGGGGAGC